ACAGTATTCTCGAAAAACATCGACAAACATTCTCCAGAATTCCCCAAATCCATCAAACAAACCAGCACGAATTGTAGGGGTGAAAGGGGTGATCCGGGTACCCGTCTGTTTAGCTGCTGATCCGTTAGCAAAACAAGTACCCATTAGTCGTGTCCGACAGTACAGTACGGTATTTTAGCTGGCACGGAATGCGGAAGGCTATTGTATAGTGATTGTAACTATTGGCTGCTAAAGGGCACCCGATAACCCGCCCGTTAAGCCGCGTACCCGTTTGTAACCATAAAGGGTAACCGTTTCACCCCAATAATGTGCCTTGCGCATGCGCTTTAGTATGCAAAATGGACGGTCAGGCACGTGATCAATGATTTGGACTATTGCTGTATGCAACTTTGCAAGTCCTGCTGTTCAAGCGAGTAGACCCAGGTGCTCGAAGTCCGGACATGGTATCCTAAGTTTGTACGCCCATAATTTCATGTTCTGTTATTGTATTCGACTCAAATATGTTATGGAGGGGACAGTGTGGTATGTTCCCCTCGCGTAGCTATTCTCAGGGATCTACGATAAGCAGAAGTCCCATACCACGCGAGTGGGTTTTCGAGTGTCCATACGAAATACAAATTGGGTTACATTTCATGCAAAAATCAACTTTGCCAAGACCGATTTCGAACGGACACAGCGTCAAACAGACCTTCACTCAATCATCAAGAGCCAGCTTAGAGCTGAGAATGGCCGGAGGAGAAGAATTTACAGAGAACCACCAATCCTTGCAGAAAGGTTGACACTCCTGGCATCTCCACCACTGTTTTCCCGCGGTTTTCACAGCGCAGCTGCTTCTTCACTGAGCCGACTAAAACACCTTGCATTTCGGCAGCAAACTACGCTTTTGCAAGAAATACTGGTGGAGGCACATGCCAAACATATCGCTTCGGTGCTTTCGTCGTAACCGAGGGATTGCAAGTTAGCAATTAGCAGAAATATGTGTGTATTTCAAGTCACCTCTGATCAGTACGGACTTAGAGCACCCTCTGCGACACCAAAATTTGATATGAAAAATCAGCAAACTCCAGAGAAACAGATCAGATCGAAAGATGGCCTGGTTCAATCGAGCCTGGCCTCAGAACAAACTTGGACAAGATACCTTCCATCCACGAGCAGGATTCTGGCAAGTGGCATTGCCAGTGTGACTTTCAGCTCGACAAACACACACTGTAAAAGTGTCCGGACTTCGAGCACCTGGGTCTACTGTTCATCAGATGTACATGTACGAGTACATACGTCCATGGATGCGTGCTCTTTCTCTGGCAGGTCATAATAGACATCACCCAAAATTCATAAAAAAATTAAAACCACCAGATTGCCCAGTCACTTCAACGTGTTGTAATTGTGGGACAGGGTAAATAAGATATCTTTCAATGGTGCTGTCGGACACAACCCCATGGCCCATCCCTTCTTATTGGTAGAGTGCAGCGACTGTGTCTGTATCGTAGGACCTTGACCTAAAACTCAATAGTTGTTGTAAGGTGCTGCTGCTGCTGCTTGTGTTTGTTGTTTGTGTTGTAGTCATGGCAAGTGGAGACCTAGCAAGCGTATTCAAACGCTAGACTTGCCCCCTGGCCCCAGACGCCTAAGCAGTGAGTGGAATTATTATTCTGAAGTGTTTTTCTAGTTGGTCTTCATTCGTCCATGTCACTAACTCCTGTTCACACCCAGCAGTAGTCTTCAGTGTGTTCAGTGATAATTCACTGCAACCACGTGAAGTAAAACACAGCATGCTACAGTGGAAGAAGGCATGTCACCTTTTCTGAACAATGGACATAAACGGCATAGGCTCCATTTCACTTTCTGGAGTATTAGGATGCGAAATTGTTGTACCAGTGACACTTCAATAATACTTCCACGGTCATTGGGACTTGACCAGTATTATGTTGGACTCAGTAGGCAGTCGTTGTCCTATAAACAGTCGGAAGCCCAGTAAGGAATCGAACTCATGACCTAGTCATGTATTTATGACTCCGTCAAACTCACGCGACTTTCCCTGTAGAAAGTCAGAACATTTCCCGTGCACGGTCTGAGTTTTGTTGGCTGGGATTTTTGGTAAGGGTGAAAAGGATGATCTGAATACCCGTGTACCCGTCAGTTTAGCTACTGGTCCGCTAGCAAACGAGTACTAGTACCCGTTAATAGTGTACGACGGTTTGTTACAGTATTAGAAGCTGGCTTGGACAGTCCTACAGTTCGATGTACAGTTGGAATATGTTGTTGGTTGTTCGATCCGGCTTCATATGACAATTCTGACAATTCTGACTGTTTTGCATGTAGCACAGTATGTGTGCATGCAACACTTGTCGCCATGTAGTGTACTTGCTGTGAATTGCATGACTTCACATGCACAGAATGCCCGCTTCATCCACCGATCACGGGCTGTGCAGGATAGTTTGACCCAGGGAGTAGAATTTTACGACTCCCTGTTTGAACTTTGCGTCACCTCTCAACCGCATACTTCTCAAGGAAAAGCAAGTACAAGTACAATTGACCGTTTACTGTGAGGGAATGGAAAAGGGAAAAGTCTGAAGAAAAAATTGGCTGTCACCACCTGACGCTGCATGCATGTCCCATGCGCGTCAACAGTACTTCAGACTTCAGACTCACCGTCAGCCAGAGCCTCGTCGATGACCACCAAAGACTATAGGAAAAGATAGTACCGGTACTTGAAAAATACTAGTCAAGCTGTGGCATGTATCCCTTTGAATTCCAAGCACTCGCATCCTTTTCTACTTTGTATCTGACCAACGCTACTGTGTTGTTAATGTGATGTTTGCAGATCCCTGGAAGCACCCAGACTTTCCAACTGACCGGTATCGTGGCTGGATACTCACCCTGCCAGCAGCTACATTCCGGAGAAAGGTCATTGCAAAGCGCCTGCTCCCCAGCAATGATGTGATTGAAAAGCTGCGCCTCCGTGAGAGGAACGCCGGAACTCAAGAGCATAACGAAGATTTGCTGACTTACCTCCTGCCGGGTGGTCGGGCGTACTTCAAGACCTTCCTGGATATCATCGAAACCATGTATCCACACAAGCGCTCTGAATTTGAGGTGTTGTTGGATCCTCCTGAGGCATGAGCTGTAAGTTACTGGATCTATCGAAATAATATTGAGGAACTTTCGTGAATGCGAATCGACCTCTGAAATGCTGGACCAACATATCTGTACTGACATGATTGATATAGGATCGGCTGGCTGATGTCAAAGTTTGCTTCAAGACATGTGAGCAATTGTTCAAGTAGCCTTGTCATATGTATGTGTGTGTTGGGGGGCAGCCCAGTGATATTAGTTGCACATGCCGTCCCGTACCGTCAGTTTTTTTCGGTCAACTTGAACGGGGCTTCACATGTACAGATAGTCAGATACTAAATTATTAATGAAAATATTTCTGTTTCGTCCTTTGTGGACTCATCATCAGCATTGCACAGAGAAAATGAGGCCGAACCTGATAGCAATGAAAAATATATTTTCCAAGGCAAGATTTAAACTAAGCCCGGAACGTACCTTGCCAGGTGCTCAAACTGACAAGTCAGTGAGCTCTGCATAACGCAAACACGAAGGGCAGTACCCCACATGAGAGTGCTCGACTACTACAAGAGCAGGAGCAAAATACTCAATCTGTGGACAGAACTGTTTCATCCTTTGTGGACTCATCAGCGTAGCACAGAGAAAATCATTATGCAGCCAGATACTGGGTGGACCAAGCACTTCTGTTCTGCTTCCACAGGACACCATGACCCCATGATCAAATGCAGATTGTGAATGGGGGTGTGGGAAGGTGGAAAGGGGGTGGGAGATCAGATCAATCAACCAGAAAAAGCCAATATCCCGTTTGTTGCATTCATGTTATGCTTGTACGAAGTAGCAAGCTTGTGGCTTGTAGCTGGGTTGTAAAACTCCGCCTGCTTCCAAACAGGTCTTGTTGCTAGTACCTGTACTTGGAAATTCCCATAACTCCAAATTACATACACTGTACATTTGGATGGGGAAAGGCCATAGATGTGGCATATGACGTCACTATTTACACGAAAACTAGTACCCTAAAGTATCGTGAAAATGCGCCACCATCTCGTCCTTTCGAGGTCGTATTGTGGAGGTGGTCGCCTGTCTGTAGGTCATACGACACAAACCTTGCACACATAATGCACGTTGTGCAGTCAATCCATCCCTTTGAGCGGACACGAGCTTCACACAAAACCCCGCTAAGTGTGACCTTAGTAAACTAAGGTTATCACACCGTACAAACTTCGTTGCACTCTGCCATACGATTTTCCTTTCCCTGGCTGAAAAATCAATGAGGGGCGCTCTCGCGAGACGGGTCGCACTGGCGGTACTTTACGGTAATATTAATAGGTTGAGGGAATGGGACAGGGAAAAATCTGAAGAAAAATGAATTGTCACCACCAGGACTCGAACCAGGGACCTTCGCCAAGGATGCTCTAACCACTGAGCTATGGTGTAGTAATATTTCCACTACAACCCGTCGAAAGGGTACTTGGTAAACAAAAGTACCCGTAACTTCGGTACCCGGATAACTGATGTATGGGTGTGCTAAAGTAATTTTTTTAAAGCGTTGGCACTTGTCCCACTGTATCTGCGTAATGCTGCTGGTAGTGGATAGATACCCCTGCTAACACTGCCTCGCTGTTGCTATTGCTGCTGCTGCTGCTACTATCTGTTCTGTTCTTGTAGACCTTCAGCTGCCATGATGTCTTCACTCCCACTCTGTAGTCTTTGCTTTGTAGCTTGTTGGCGTTCACATCAACTGACAAGCAAGCAAGGTATACGGGGGCTAGTATTTTCTGCTGTTTCTTTTGGTAAAAATGTGTCACCCTGCATATAGTTCCCTGCAGCTATTGATGCACCCGTGAAAACATCGCTCCTGTGAGTGATTGATTTCTGCAGTGAAACCTTGCTTTTTATGTTTCTTTAGAATGAAGTAGAGCTTTGCCTTTAGCGCTACCTATCTGCTCGCGTTATAATTTGTTGTTGTCATTGTGATACTCCTTTTGGAGGTCCCGAATCAACAAGATAATTCCTTCTGTGAACATCTACTGGCTGTATTATCTGTATGGTAATTGTAAGTGTATCGCTTGCAACATCACAAGACTACATGGATCACTGTCTGAAATTGCACCTTAATGCATTCTTGTAGTCCATGGCAACACTGGGTACGTTTTTTGTGTGTATGGATACTATGTATTTCATCAGTGTCCTCTTAGCGTAATGTCTGATGTGCTTGCCATTAGTGCAATGGCCCGTTTCTGAACCTTACGTTTCTGCATTTTTGTTGACATTACTCACGGTTGAGGATGCCTATCCTCTCCTTTCCTTCTGTGGAATTTCTTCACCCTCTTATCACCTAGCCATGGCCTGTGTAGGCTGTTTTACAAACAGATATCTTCTTTTGTATTTTGTGTCCTTTTAGGCAGTCACTGTTAGGGTTATGTGCTTTCCGTGAATGCAATAGCCAGTTTCTGGATCATAGTACGTGTATTGAACAGTTTGTTTGATCTGAGCCAAGACTTAGTGTTTTCCCTTTTTTAGCTTCCTCATCATTGAATGCTTGTTGTACGTAATTGATACTTTCTCGTCAACTTTCAGGACTATTGGGGGTATAGTAGGTTCATGTGTCGGAATTTCGACACCAGCTCCGACATCTTGTTGATGTCGACTCAGTTGTCTGCCTCCAGTACTAGTACATGTATTTCCAATTTCTCAGCCAGGTATACACCATCGCTTCCTCGCGTTGACCCCCCAGCCGCGGCCTTCGTGACGACTAGCCCTTTCCCAAAGGTGCTCGCCCTTTTTTCGCCCTTTTTGGAAAGCGGCCTGTTTCTTTCGCCCTTTATTGCGTTTTTTGGTGAATATTGTCCTTTTTGAGCTTTTTTAGCTGAAAAAGTGCTAAAATCTGTTTGCTCATGCATGCGATCACAGTTTCCGAGTGCTCGATGGGCCTTGGCACGCCGCTTTTTTGGGGGCAACAAGTAATTAGTTGGTGAAGCTTGTACCCGGTGTACACAATGCTGTAAGAAGTGGGGTTTTTTGAACTTTAATACTTCCTGTTTTGCCTTTCGTGGACCCATAAATGGAAGAGTGCGTATTCATTTCTCAGCTTGGGTTCATATCTGAACATGTATCATGGCTATGCTTCACTGAAAGAAGAGCGCTTTTTGCCTGTTTTCACTGAAAAAAAGATCACTTTTTCAGCATATTTTGAGGGACGCGAAAAGCACTAAGTGCGAATTAAAAGAGCATCTTTGGGAAAGGGCTAGTGACGACAAACCATCTGACAGTGTGTTTGTTGTGTGCTCGTCCGCTTGAGGTTCTTTGTACATTGTGACATTTCCGTTCTCTTTTCCCGTCTCTCGTGTCTTGTCGTGCAGTAAATGCCGCTGTCTGCTGAGTGATGACTGATGGTCGCTATAAAAATGCGTGAAACAAATAAAAGGTGTAGATATACTAAAAAAAGTTAGAAATTTAAAGGGGAAGTTAAGCCTAAAATCAAATGTTCATCAGTTGTAGTCTTCGGGGTGCTGAGTCGAATGGTCTTGGTCCGAGGAAGCTGAGACGCTCCGTTCCTCCTTTGTTCCCAATCGAACTCGCGCACGTCCACCGAAACTGGGTGACTGCGCCCTACTAGATGGGGATTTGTATGCAAAATGTCACTAAAAGTACCATTTTTCACTGTTTTTATTTGACATTATCTTTCTCTTTCTTTACGGAGTTGTTGCTGTTCATTTTGCTACTCTTTCTTTTTCCCTCCCCTTACTTTTATTTATCGCCGTGGTTGGCAATCACCCACTCTCTTTAACATTGGCCGGTGTTTCCACCGAGTCTTGAGATGTTGTAATAAATATAATATAAATATAATACGAAGTAGTGGTTGCGACTTCGGCGATGACTTGTAAGAAAGGGTTTGCTCCCCACACCGGAGCTCGCGCTATTCTGCCGACTTCACTTGACACTTGACTGACTCACGACTGCCATCCAGAGCACACGAGAAGTCCATCGAACCTTCGACTCGGCAAACCTGCAAGAAAGCACCACTCCCTGCTCAATACACAGTGTTTCGGGGAATTCACCCCTCATCAGTTGAGCTTGAGTAGGCTGAGGAAGATTGTGCCCGAAGAGCACCACTTATATAGTGCTCTCCGGGCACAAACATCACCAGGGACACAAACTTACAGAGACGCTCCGTTTCCAGCGCGACAAACACCTCGTGAACACCAGATAGCAGCGTGAGTCAGTGTCGCTCCTGGACGGTGAGACAGACGTCGAGGACCCTCGGTCATTCGCAACGCTGTCACCTCCAAACCAACTAGTCGCAAGCCCGCGCTGGGCACAACAGTACGAAGTAGTGGTTGCGACTTCGGCGATGACTTGTAAGAAAGGGTTTGCTCCCCACACCGGAGCTCGCGCTATTCTGCCGACTTCACTTGACACTTGACTGACTCACGACTGCCATCCAGAGCACACGAGAAGTCCATCGAACCTTCGACTCGGCAAACCTGCAAGAAAGCACCACTCCCTGCTCAATACACAGTGTTTCGGGGAATTCACCCCTCATCAGTTGAGCTTGAGTAGGCTGAGGAAGATTGTGCCCGAAGAGCACCACTTATATAGTGCTCTCCGGGCACAAACATCACCAGGGACACAAACTTACAGAGACGCTCCGTTTCCAGCGCGACAAACACCTCGTGAACACCAGATAATATATAATATATAATATAATTTCATTCTTATAAAAGCACGGATGACCGCGATTGGTCCATATATTGTAGTCTTTTGGACGCTGAGTCGACTGGCTTTGGTCCGAGAAGGCTGCGATGTATATGTAGCGTTCGGCCCTTATTCCCAATCGAACATGGTTGAACAAGCCGTGACTTGCTCCTGCGTACACCATGGTACACCAGTCGCCTGGTCACCGCGCCAGCAGGCGAAAAATTTCACACCAAGGTTCAACTCAAAGGTCCAAAGGTTCAACCCGAGCGACAGAAACTCGCTCAAACATGCTGTTACACTGTACTACTACTACTACTACTACTAGTAGTACTAGTGTTAGTTGTAGCCTGCACGACGGCGACCAGGTGACTGGTGTACGCACGAGCACGTGACCGCTTGTCAAGCCATGTTCGATTGGGAATAAGGGCCGAACGCTACATCGCAGCCTTTTCGGACCAAAACCAGTCGATCCAGCGTCCAAAAGACTACAAAATAATGGGTCATCCGTGCTGATATGGAGCTTTTAGTGAGATTTTACATACAAATCCCCATCTAGTAGGGCGCAGTCACCCAGTTTCGGTGGAAGTGTGCGAGTTCGATTGGGAATAAAGAAGGAAGGGAGCGTCTCAGCTTCCTCGGCTCGGACCAAGCCCATTCGACTCAGCACCTCGAAGACTACAACTGGTGAAAATTTGATTTAATATATTAAAACGAGAGAGCTTGGAAGCTCAGGGCCCTACGCTATGCTTTTTTGCCTTGATGACCTAGACAAAAAAAAAGCATAGGGATGTTATACTTCAAATTCTTTAAAAAAATCCTTTTTTTAAGACATAACCTGGGATTCGAACCCGCACTATCGCGCGCCCTGCATGCATCCCCCGATACACTTCGCATACATACTAATTCTTCCAAGTTGTTTCACATTGTGATCTTGCATTTGAAAGCCCTATTTGAATATGCTGTATGTGGCCAGCCGTCTTTGATGGCACGGTACGGTAGGGGATAGGTACGGGACAGGTACGATCGAGGGTAATACGACACCGTCTCCCGTACCGTACCATCAAACACAGCTGGCCACATGCAGCCGCCCGCAATATTCAAATAGGGCTTTCAAACGCAAGATAACAACGTGAAGCAACTTGGAAGAATGGGTATGAATGCGAAGTGTATGGGGGAATGCATGTAGGGCGATAGTGCGGGTTCGAATCCCAGGATATGCCTGAAAAAAAAATAGGAGAATTCAAAGATATATAACATCCTATGCTTTTTTGCCGTCAGATACGGATAGCGCCAGGCGTGACACAAACAAACACACAAACAAACACCAAATTAAAGCTGTGTGGACCCTGGCTAGCGCCAGACGTTACTGAAGTAACGTCTTCTGCATAGCTACGGGAATAATAGTTATAGCAAAACAGACCTTCGCCTCGGATCCGGTGTGCGTATTATTTCTCTGCACGTAATCATTAATTTTGTGAGCACTGACTACTGCTATCTCTCATAGCTCAGTCTAGCTGGGTAGCTTCATCGAGCTGCATTACATCATCGGCCCTGTTCGTTTGTGTGTGTGGGGGGGGGGGGGGGTAGAATGTCAGACCGCAGTGTCAGTGCTCGTGTCCGGGTAAGCTTGGGAAAACGACAGAAAAAGCGCATCCGGCCGGCTGAGTTCTTGTGCGCTACACAGTCTAATACTAAGTAATAGTACTACAGTATCACTGAACATGCTGAATGGCCCAGGCCAGGGGCAGCGCAGTCCGACGTAGACTAATCTGCGTAGAACTGCTGCAAACTGCCTTCACCGTTCACGGTTTCAGATGTCGTCGTCCGGTAGGTCTACATCATGACTGTAGTCTACGCCTAGTGCACGGCTCAGCGGGGTAGCACTCCGATTCTCTGCACGACTGCAGGTTTGGTCAAGAGACGCTAGGCAGAGGCTGAGAGTGAGACTGTGATTCAGAGAGAGGGAGACTGGAGTGAGGTTTTGAAGATACAGCGACGTGTACGTTCCTATTTTTTATACAGCGGTTTCATGGCAGCTGAGTAGAAAACAGCCGCCAGTGCAACTAATTACTTGCCAAGCTGTCGACCTACTCTGTGTTCACTACCCTGGCCTGTCACGGATCAACCGTAAGTGTCAATCAATTATGGAAAGAAGATAATGAGCCGTCAGATGCGAAAAGGGACCTAGTACCTATCGACTATCGAGTATCGTCATAATTATGTTGTCGAATTGAGTTTGGCATATTACCGAATGCCGGTAATCACAATCTACAGGATCCAGGCCAGGACATGCCCGGCATGCGGAAGGTAATAAAAAAAAACAGATGGAAAATCTTTATTTTCACAAAGTTGAATGGACTCAGATGGAGAGCCAAGGTTTAAAGGGGAAGTTAAGGCAAAAATTAAAATTTCACCAGTTGTAGTCTTCGGGGTGCTGAGTCGAATGGTCTTGGTCCGAGAAAGCTGAGACGCTCCCTTCCTACTTGAATCCCAATCGAACTCGCGCACTTCCACCGAAACTGGGTGACTGCGCCCTACTAGATGGGGATTTGTATGCAAAATGTCACTAAAAGCGCCATTTCGTTCTTATAAAAGCACGGATGACCGCGATTGGCCCATATGTTGTAGTCTTTTGGACGCTGAGTCGACTGGTTTTGGTCCGAAAAGGCTGCGATGCAGCGTTCCTCCTTTATTCCCAATCGAACATGGTTGAAGAAGCGGTCACGTGCTCGTGGGTGCCCAAATCACCTGGTCACCACGCCAGCAGGCGACAAATTTCACACCAAGGTTCAACTCGAGTTCAACTCGAGTGACAGGAGTGCACCCAAAAAAGGTCAAACAGGCTAGTAAGTTGTACCCTGCAGGCACGGTGACCAGGTGACTGGTGTACGCAGGAGCACGTGACCGCTTGTTCAAGCATGTTCGATTGGGAATAAAGGAGGAACGCTGCATCGCAGCCTTTTCGGACCAAAACCAGTCGACTCAGCGTCCAAAGGACTACAACATATGGGCCAATCGCGGTCATCCGTGCTTTTATAAGAACGAAATGGCGCTTTTAGTGACATTTTGCATACAAATCCCCATCTAGTAGGGCGCAGTCACCCAGTTTCGGTGGAAGTGCGCGAGTTCGATTGGGATTCAAGTAGGAAGGGAGCGTCTCAGCTTTCTCGGACCAAGACCATTCGACTCAGCACCCCGAAGACTACAACTGGTGAAATTTTAATTTTTGCCTTAACTTCCCCTTTAATTTATACAAAAGAGAAAGACCAAGGTGGCAAGGAACTACAAGTTACGCTATACTGTCCACTAACACCACCAGTTACTAAACAATCAGCTCATGTGATAACATTGCACGACACTGACCGACGGTACTGACGTTCTACAACTATATGGCTAGCAGCTCTTGCACATCTTGGATGCGCACTCCAACAGCCTTCCAACTTGGAAGGTTCTTGAGACTTTCAGCTCGAGCTGATCTTGGTTGCGCTCACCTTCCCCTCCTTATGTTATTTCTATAACTCAGAACCTTCCAAGTTGGAAGGCTGTTGGAGTGCGCATCCAAGATGTGCTAGAGCTGATAGCCAGTTAGTTGTAGAACGTCAGTACCGTCGGTCAGTGTCGTGCAATGTTATCGCATGAGCTGATTGTTTAGTAACTGGTGGTGTTAGTGGACAGTATAGCGTAACTTGTAGTTCCTTGGTCTTTCTCTTTCACAAAGTTACTAAGGATTTCACAAGCGCATTTTGTGGCATAAAATACAAAAAGGAGCCAGACAAAGGCCAAAGATGTTCGATTGGTAAGGATTGGGATTATTATTATTATTCTCGTATCCATCCCGAATGGGACTCACGACGGCAGAATTAACTGTGAGCATGTGTGTGTGAGAGTGGGAAAACGAAATGAAAAAGAAAAGAAAAGTCTTGTAGTATAGGTCAAATTTAAGAAGAGCAGTACTAGACTAAATGGCTGAGCAGATGTTACTCCATTGTTTTCTGTCGCGGGCATAGCTGCCGAGATCACGAAGGCAGCTGGGCTTAAAAATGCAGATAGGTGTGAGGCAGACGTCTCGCTGGAGACTTGTGGTGAGGCAAGAGCGGGGTGCACCTATTAGAATGGGCTGACTGGTAGCATATGTACAGAAAGCAGTGAGAGCAACATTTGCACGGATATCACTTGGCTGGCGTAATATATTATGTCCTAATAAAGGATTGGGATCCAGATCTCAGATACATCGGATCCTTCAGAGTCAACTGAACACCTTATTTTGGACCTTGACTGTTAACATGTTGCCATGTTGACGAAGTAATAAAATGGCGCTCACAAGTCACCCAAAAGGGTGAAAGTCGTAGATCTACTCATCGCGTGCGTCGTACAAAAAGTCAACAAGCTCTATCTCGATCCATGTGTGCATACCACAATATGTACAAAAATGATTTTTTTACCCGCCATATACGCACAAAGGTCACATTTGGATCCGTTGGATCCGGTCAACCCTGCTCCCCAAGGTGGGTTGACCGGATCCAATTCCGAAGGATCCGGATCTGGATTCGACCAATCGAAAGGGAGCGAACTCAGTGGATCCTGTGGATCGGGATCCCGATCCTACCAATCGAACATGCCCTAAATTTATGTATAGAGTATTATCAATACGAATTTTTGTGAAGGTAATTCTGATGCAAAGCCATTATTGTCAAAGTCGGAACACTCCGAGATTACCAGGATAGTCATTGGCGTTTGCGTTTTGGGAAATCCAGTAAACGAGAGAGCTTGGAAGCTCAGGGCCCTACGCTATGCTTGTTTTGCCTAGCTCATCGTGCATGTTATTAGAACTGATGGAAATGTTTTTTTCCATTAATTGGCTACATCATTGTAGTGCAAAAACGTTTCTATCAGTTTGAATATGAGTTAGGCAAAAGTAATTGCAGAATTTATTGCAGATTGTTATTTTTCTCACTTTATCCACTTTTGGTTTGCTCCTTCTTTTCCTTTTTATCTCCTTATAATCGGATTTTCTGGCCTTTTGTCTCTGTTGAGCCAATGAGGTAAAATTATATTCCATACAATACGATACAATACAATAGTACAACGAGAGAGCTTGGAAGCTCAGGGCCCTACGCTATGCTTTTTTGCCTTGATGACCTAGACAAAAAAAAGCATAGGGATGTTATAAATTCTTTAGCCCCATCCCTCACACAAACAAGTCAACAAAGAGGCATCTTTGGATTGAGGAGTGCTGGTTTCGAAACAACTGGTTTGAAGCTCAAAGTAGAGCTGGTGTTAGCTCAGAGCAGAGCTGCTGTTAGCTCAGAGCAGAGCTGCTGTTAGCTCAGAGCAGAGCTGCTGTTAGCTCAGAGCAGAGCTGCTGTTAGCTCAGAGCAGAGCTGCTGTTAGCTCAAAGTAGAGCTGCTGTTAGCTCAAAGTAGAGCTGCGGTTAGCTCAAAGTAGAGCTGCGGTTAGCTCAAAGTAGAGCTGCTGTTAGCTCAAAGTAGAGCTGCTGTTAGCTCAAAGTAGAGCTGCTGTTAGCTCAAGGTAGAGCTGCTGTTAGCTCAAAGTAGAGCTGCTGTTAGCTCAAAGTAGAGCTGCGGTTAGCTCAAAGTAGAGCTGCTGTTAGCTCAAAGTAGAGCTGCGGTTAGCTCAAAGTAGAGCTGCTGTTAGCTCAAAGTAGAGCCGCTGTTAGCTCAAAGTAGAGCTGCTGTTAGCTCAACGTAGAGCTGCAATGCTAAATGGATGTAATATAGCGCAAGGCAGAGCCGCAGCAAATAGCTAGATAACACCAGTTGTGAGAGTGGACCCGATTAGTGGGTACGATAATTATGATGGTGTGAATAAGTTGGTTAGGGAGGGATGGTGGGAAAAGAAACACTGCTGAAGCACGATCCGTTGTCTGGAGGAGCACAACAGGGCAAGCAAGATTTGTTTTTCTTTTCCGCAAAATGGGCTGGTGCCATTTGTGATTACGCAGCAAAACAAAGCGCATGACGTCAGTCTTGAATGCAGTACAAAGCAATGCAGTGCAGTGTGTGCGCTAGTTCGGATTGTTGCTAACAAGTACTAGCACAGCTAGTACACCATTAGCCCCATCCCTCACACAAACAAGTCAACAAAGAGGCATCTTTGGATTGAGGAGTGCTGGTTTCGAAACAACTGGTTTGAAGCTCAAAGTAGAGCTGGTGTTAGCTCAGAGCAGAGCTGCTGTTAGCTCAGAGCAGAGCTGCTGTTAGCTCAGAGCAGAGCTGCTGTTAGCTCAGAGCAGAGCTGCTGTTAGCTCAGAGCAGAGCTGCTGTTAGCTCAAAGTAGAGCTGCTGTTAGCTCAAAGTAGAGCTGCGGTTAGCTCAAAGTAGAGCTGCGGTTAGCTCAAAGTAGAGCTGCTGTTAGCTCAAAGTAGAGCTGCTGTTAGCTCAAAGTAGAGCTGCTGTTAGCTCAAGGTAGAGCTGCTGTTAGCTCAAAGTAGAGCTGCTGTTAGCTCAAAGTAGAGCTGCGGTTAGCTCAAAGTAGAGCTGCTGTTAGCTCAAAGTAGAGCTGCTGTTAGCTCAAAGTAGAGCTGCGGTTAGCTCAAAGTAGAGCTGCTGTTAGCTCAAAGTAGAGCCGCTGTTAGCTCAAAGTAGAGCTGCTGTTAGCTCAACGTAGAGCTGCAATGCTAAATGGATGTAATATAGCGCAAGGCAGAGCCGCAGCAAATAGCTAGATAACACCAGTTGTGAGAGTGGACCCATGAAACCAGCACTCCGTTAGCTAAGCACTATTGACGCACAGCAAGGGTCAATTTATGTCAGCACAGGCAAGCATTGCGCAGCTAGAGTTCAGTAGCTCATTACTCACCCGAGTTGGGGATCATGGCATCCCTGGCACGGCAGCAAGCCGGGACGATAGCTGGCGTTTAGCGCTTGTTGTAGTCCGGATGTAGCATAGACACGCATCGCTCTTTCCACTGACCTGCCACTCGGAAGAAGGAGTCGGGGCACTAGCCATAGCAGCGGTGGTGGCTGCACCAATGTGGACCGAATGCCCGGAGTAGTTCGACTGGGATGGTACACCGGCCGCAGCGACAAGAGACCATACTGTTACTGTGAATGACTGCCTGGTCAGCTGCTGTCTGTTCGAGAGTACGAACAAGAGTTGCTCTGGTC